TCATTTAATTCAATGAATTTATCTATCTATCTATCTATCTATCTATCTATCTATCTATCTATCTATCTATCCCTGTCTTTTCATTCAATGAATTTATTATCTATCTATCTATCTATCTATCTATCTATCTATTTTTAATTCAATAAATCTATCTGATGTCTTTTAATTCAATGAATCTATTTTTAATTCAATAAATCTATCTATCTATCCGAGTTTTTTTAATTCAATGAATCTAATCTATCTATCTATCTATCTATCTATATCTATCTATCTATCTATCTATCTCAGTCCTTTTTATCTATCTATCTATCTATCTATCTATCTATCTATCTATCTATCTATCTATCTATCCCTTTTCATTAATTAATTCTATAAATCTATCTATCTATCTATCCCTGTCTTTTTATCTATCTATCTATCTATCTATCTATCTATCTATCTATCTATCAATCCGATTATTTACACTATTTACATTGTTCGGATTGCTGTCCACATCTTTGTTGCTACGTTCACGACGTTTCGGTCGTTGTTCGCTCTGGTCTTCTTCAGGATATGTCTTTATTTCTGATATGAAATTGTAATTATTTACATTGTTCGGATTGCTGTCCACAAATTTGTTGCCACATTCACGACGTTTCGACCGTTGTAAGCTCACGCCTTTCTCAGGATAGGTCTTTATTTCTGAAATGAAATTGAAATTATTTACACTATTTACGCTCTTCGGGTTGCTGTCCACATCCAATCACCTGAAGAAGGACGGAGCGTATAACGGCCGAAACGTCGTGAATGGCAAAAAAGATGGGTACAGCAGTTCGAACAATGTAGTGTAAATAATACGTTCTGTAATAATTTATTTAGAAGGAAGCTCATCTTGGTGACAACCTAACTTCCCTTCAGTTAATACAGTATGTGTATTGTAACACCCTCCCCCCCCATCGAGTAAAAAAAATATTATGGAAAAACAAGTATAAATACAAGTTAAATACCCGCCTTACGTATATTTCTCATTTCAGCAGACGATGTTATTTTATATATGGTAACTGAATTTTTGGCGATTGCATTACTTCGTATTCATCGTTCGAAAAATGCCGCTTTTATCGTGGTCGCCATTGATATCGGCCTTTTGGATGAGATCAAAGCGTAGTATCTGTTTTTATCTATCTTCTCTTCTCTTCTTTCATTTACTTACTGAAAGTATGTAGTGTCTCCTTCCCTCTTTCTACGCGTTCAAAACGGAATAATCCATTATTTATGAAGTATTGGCAAGGCGTAACGGTCGTGCGAACTAACGGAAGAAGCGCAATTATAAGATGCTAGTCCGAAAAATCGCGGATAGATGAAAATAGTTCCTAGAACTTCATAGGATACATTGAAACCTTGAACCCGCTTCGAATGGAACGTGATTAAAAATACTTATAGTGATTATAAGTAAAATAATTCCTACAAGAATATTTATGTGAGAACTTTTGGTAAAACTACGAAGGGCTTAAATGTTCTGATTCATATATTACTCTGAATCAAGAATGGCAGAATAACAGGGTTTTTTTTCAGAATGACAAGTATAAATGTTGCTACCCGCCTGTCGATATTTAAAAGCGGATATTTCTTGCTAAATGACCTAATAGTTCATTAGATATTAACGAATTCAGCTTTTGTGTTATTTATTATCTTAATTTTTCACAATATTATCAACAAAAGAAGAAAGAAAAAAGAGGTGGCGTGGAATTCACCAGTAGAGGGCGTCTGATAATATCTTTGTTTTACTGATTACTGCAATTAGAACGATCAATTATTCCATCCTCTTTGTCACTCCTTTTTTTTTTTTCTTTTGTCTGTCGGTGGTGTTACGTTTTATTTTTCTTCTTCTTCCATCTTATTTTTTTCCTTCATTACTTTTCTTCATCTTTCACCTTTTTCCTTTATTTGTCTTTCGTTTTTGTATTCTAATCATTCATTTTTATCTTCATTCCTCATTTTTTTTTTCTTTTGTTTATGCCTACCGGCCATTTTTTTTCTTTTCTTTTCTTCCATCTTTCATTTTCAATCATTTTATATTCATTCGTTCGATTTCATTTTTTTAATTTTCTTTTTCAATTTTTCTATTTTCCTTCTTATCTTTTCTTATTTTTCTTCCTTTATTTTTTCTTTTTTACTTACTTTTCTTTTCCTTTTTGTAGCTTTTTTCTTTCTTTCTTTACTTTTTTTTCTTTTTTTTCTTTCTTTTCTATCATTTCGTTTTTTTTTAATTTTCATTTTTTTCATTATCCTTTCTTTCGTTCTTATTTTTCAATGAGTTTATCTTCATTTATTCATTCATTATTTATTTATCTATTTATTTATTTGGCTTTCATTGATTACGTTTTTACTTTCTTCTTTTCTGTCTTCCTTTTTTATTTTGTTTTCCTTTCTTTCCTTCCTTCATTTCGTTTATTCTTTCCTACCTTTCCCTTTTTTCTTTCATTTTCTTTCATTCTTCTTTTTCTTCTAATAATGTTTTCTTCATTCCTTCCTTTTTTGACGGATATTTGTGTGGATATAGAAAACAATACGATATTTTTTTTCTATCCGTCCCTCCCCCATCCACACTTTAGGCAGACAACATATTACCAGATTTTTTTCTGGGCTCCATATATAGGCCACTGAGTGGGGAATAGGAAAACGGTATTTTACTGAAGGAAGCAGGATTATTTAAAGCCAGAAAATAATTTTGAGATTTTACATAATAATGATTTAAGTGATACAAGTCTTACTAATTAACCCATAGCTGGAGGGAGAGGAAGTAAATTTATACCTTTCCTACGGATATTTGCACATAAGTAAATATAAAGAACCCAACGAGAATTGGAATTAAAAATTCCGAGCTATTATCCATCCGAGCTTACAACATCTGGTATTTCCAAACGGTCACCCATCTAGTTACTGACCAGTCTCGACGTTGCTTAACTTCGGTGAAATGATGCTTCATTAGGTTAGTTAATCAGTCTTCCTCTGTTCCCGTTGCTTTCAATATGCCCTGTGAGTCAAATTTTCCAAGCCTTCTATCTTCATTATATGCCCCTGAAATTTCAAAAGTCTCTTCCTGTTTTTAAGTATAAATATTCTTTTTGTTTCTTTTTACTTTTCTTTAAAGCTTCCTCGTTGTTTGCATGCTACATCCATGGTATTCTCAGCGTTCTTTTCCAGAGTCATATTTATCTAGTATTAATACTCCTCTTCATCTGTGAGAAAATTATCCAGTATTCATTGCCTTAGAGGAGGACTGCTATTAGCCGTTGAAATGTTCGTAATAATATATTTTAGATATTCTATGTCTGTTTTTGCTTATTCAATGTAGAAAATTGTTTCCTACCACAACCTAAAATATTTAAAATTTAACCTCATAGGTTACCATTGGTTTATTTTTTTAATAATAGGTAATGGTAAAATTAGCCGTTTCCATTTTGACACTTTCATAGAGTTTCAACCCCAGTTTGGGGGTTAACTATTTGCCCATAGCTGAGATCCTAACAGGTGCTACCACCCCGGGTCAGGGTCCGCCTGGGAACACTAGCAATTAAGAGGTGGCTCCACACTCCTCAAAACCTCCTGATCAGAGGCCTTGCTGTTGAACGTAGTTTATCGTCTTACCAAGAACGCGGATGCAATTTATCGTCTTACCCAGAACGCGGATGTAGTTTATCGTCTTACCCAGGACGCGGACGTAGTTTATCGTCTTACCCAGGACGCGGATGCAATTTATCGTCTTACCCAGGACGCAGATGCAATTTATTGTCTTACCCAGGACGTGGATGTAGTTTATCGTCTTACAAAGAACGGTCTACTTACGGTTAAAATTTAAAAAATCTTTCTATTAAAAAATTTTTCAGGAAAATAGATTTCTTATATCCAGTAACTTTGATTTCCTTTTCCAGTATTGGTGAAGATGGGTCCTTCCTAAACTTTCGTTTAAAATAGTGTGAAGCGTCAAATGTCCTTATTTTATATTCAAGTGGTGTGGTTTCCTTCACCTGGTACAGCTCGTTTGTGATTCTGTAGCGCCAGTCCGCGTGGTCTGAAGAATGGTCCACGCTAAGGCTAACTTACTTCATTCGTTTGAAGTTGTTTTAATGCCATTTATCTGAAAAGGCGGCTGCATGCAACAAAAACAACTTGTTCAGGGTCTAAGCTTAATGAAAGAACAATGTATGGCTATAGAACTTAACTTTATTCAACATGCCAAGCCATTAGATTTGTAAAATAAACAGATTTATTTAGATAAAGAACAACATTTTTATCCATCCGCTAATATATAAAAAAAATGTTTTTTTAATAACGCCCACTTATTTTAGTAAAGGCCACCAAGAACTGATGGCCCTGGTGCGAGACTGAACCTGAATCTGCATCGATATTAATGGTGGGGATGTCGAAGGTTAGCGACATAAAAAAAAATAAAATATTTCATAGCGAATATAGAAAAATGTGTTCTTTATTGAAATAAATCTATTTTGCAAATGCAATGGCGTTTAATAAAAGTACAAACCGTAGCGATACACCATCGTTTCATTAACCTTTCTCCGCGCGAAAGCTGCTTTCGAATAACCTTTGCCGGAAAGATAACTGCTCAAATATCACGACTTCATATTTTTAAGTGGCTCCAGAAATCAATTTTCCCCTCTGAAAGCCAAGAGACGGTGAGAACGAAAGCATTCCGACCATAAAAAACGGGTTCTAAACTAGAGTCAATTTGCCAGGGAGATGCTTACACAATCAGATCATCCATCATGCGGCACCGTTGGCGGGTGCCTGAAACCATCCCGTGACATGACATTGAAGCACTTCTCAACAGTGTCAAATTGGTTAGATGAAACTGTTCGAAAGCCATTGATTGTTGAATCTGGAACGAAATCGCAAGTTATCGTGACCGAGGGCTTGATTGATTCGTTTTCTACGGTTTATCAACCCTTTGCAGGTTATTTAAAACCAGAAAATATTTTTAGATTGTAAAAATGTTTCGTTCAAAAAGATAATTAACCCACAACTGGAGGAGAAGAGGTAGATTCATACCTAAAAATAATTTGATGAAGAAACAACAATTTATGTAGATGTAAATTGGGGATCAATTCTATATTACAATCAATATATAAACTGATCCCCCACTTTATGACCAGACTACTTTCTATACATTCATATTCCAGAGAATGTAAATAAATCTTAAAGACTGTGTAGCTAATCAGCATTTCATTGATTGATTGATTCGTTTTCTACGGCTTATCAACAAATAAGAGCTTACACTATGTATAGAAAGTGGGGGATCAATTCTATATTACTATCAATTTATAAAATGATCCCTCACTTTATAGCCACAATAGTTTCTATACATTCATATTCCAGATAATGTAAATAAATTTAAAAGACTGTGTAGATAATCAGTATTTCATTGATTGATTGATTCGTTTTCTACGGTTTATCAAGCCTTTAGAGATAATGGTTTAGTAATACAAGTCCTTACTAATTAACCCATAGATGGTGGTGAAGAGGTAGATCCATAGCTAATCATAATTTGATAAACAAGAAATTTCAATGTGGATATAAATCAATTCTATATTACAATCAATATAAAAATGATTCCTGACTTCGTGGCCACAGAAATCTCTGTACATTTATATTCCTGGGTATGAGTGTACGTCCTAGGTGTGACGATAAACTATATCCGCGTCCTGGGTAAGACGATAAACTACATCCATGTCCTGGTTAAGACGATAAACTACTTCCGCGTCCTGGGTAAGACGATAACCTACGTCCAACAGTAAGGCCTCTGATCATGAGGTTCTGAGGAGCGTGGAACCACCTCTTAATTGCTGGTGTTCCCAGGTCCACCCTGACCCGGGGTGGTAGCACCTGTTAGGGTCTCAGCTATCGGCAAATAGTTAACCCCCAACCTGGGCTCAAAACGTGTAAAAATAGGCTTTAATCCCAGCAATATATTTTTATAAAAAAATTATTACCAGCAATTAATTCATTTTTTGGAAAAAAATATAACCAACAATACATTTTGTCTAAAAAATTATTACCAGCAATAAAGATATTGTCGGCTTTAAATAACCCGTTGAGGTTGATATACCGTAAAACAAACCAAACCAGTGAATTAAATTTAAAATACATTCCTGTGTATTTCATCAGGGAAATTTTTTAAAATTTCTACGTCATATCAACAATTTGAAGTTTACTTAAAGCCAGAAAATATTTTAAAGTGTAAGAATTATTTTGATATCATAATGATTTAGTATTACAAGTATTTCTAAGTAACCCTTAGCTAGTGGTGGGGATAAGTGGATTTATACCTTTCCCAAGGATATTTGCATGTAACTTAACAAAACGAACCCTACGGGAATTGGAACTTGGCTCTTCGATTAACAATTCTGAGTCTTTATCCATTACAACACCCGCATATACAAGCTTACAGTACTCCCAAGCAGTTACCCATCTACGTACTGATCAGGCTATACGATCGGTGATCGTTCCATCTACAGCAGATAAGGTGGAACGCTTTTCTCGAAAATTCTCATCTAAATCAACTCTTCACTCATCTGGTGTGCCCACATCTGACTCCCCTTCACCTAGAACTGAGGCCCTACTGAGTAATATGTGCATAACTCTGTCGTTAGTCTGGGACCTCATTTCTAGATTAGACTCCCATAAGGCAAATGGAGGCGACGGGATACCAACCAGTTACCTTTTTTCTGGTGCTTATGAATTTACAACTTTTTCATTCTGGTCAGTTGGTCATTTTTTCATAATGTTTGTGGGCTTTACTCAGATCAACCAATCAAATATGACCTGCGTTAAATTTAAACTAAGGGAAGAAGCAAAAATTAAGAAATTATTTTCCATACATGGGTCATGGCCCGTAGATTTGAAACAATTGGCAGCAACAGACGTTAAAGAGGAGCGGATGTGGATGGATACATATTCTACATAGAAAAATGAAGTGGTAATCTCATAAAACGTTAGACAAATAAACAAACTCACAATGCATATTATATGCATTGTGAGTTTCATTATTTACATTATCAATACATATTTCCTCATCTTTGTCGCCATATTTATCACATCATTTCTATAAATTGTTTATCATCCGGCCCTTCTTCGGGTGGTTTAAAATAAACTGAACCCCTTACAAAGTTTTAATGGGGTAAACTGTTTCTGTTCAAACGTGCCGAGGTTTAATGGATGTCAGTTATCTGTTATCTGCTAATCTCCGTTTAAAATTTCTTAACTGCCTTAACCGGGTATCAACAACTTTTAGGATATATATATATAGTGAATAACGGCGTTGGTTAGATCAGTGACATTTAAAAATATTGTGAGTTCAATAACTCTTTAGGCAGTCTTTGATGAATTTAAACAAATTAGCAGATAAGATAACTGACAATTTTTAAACATGGCACGTGGAACTAGAACAGTCTACCCCAGTAAGCGAAATAAAAGGTTCAGTTTCAAATTCCAACCACCTGAAGAAGGCCGGAGCGTACAACGGCCGAAACGTTGTGATAAATATGGCGACAAAGATGAGGACTATAGTCCGAATAATGTAAATAATGTACATAATACCTCATCTCAGAAATATAGACAGATTGTGATTTTCCTACATAAAAAATGTCTCT